GGTTAAAATAGAATGATAAAGTCACTTTTCTACATAAAAATACGAGCTTGCGCACTCATAGTAGCGAAGATCTGTGCAAGAAAGGACTGACCGCGATGGTCGGAAAGGGACGAGCCTAATGAAAAGTAACGAGCCTGCCGGTGCAAATTGAACGGCGCAAAATTCGTCGTATAATTCATTTGTCATTTTCCAACAGGCATAGACGCGGTATTAAGATTCCGGAACGCAGCCACAGGCCGTTGCGTATGCCAACGACTTTCGCGGACGCGTGTGCGCGCGAGTCCCGCGTACGTAGCCTCATTTGTACCAACACGTGTATCCGTGAAACCAATTTATATTTATGATGTATCGAGGCTCGATGACACAGCGACTGGCTATGCTGGTCTCGAGCCAACCGGGACCAACAGGAAGAAATGGGTGGAGGGAAGGAAAGGGCGAGAGAAGATGGTAACAACCCGAGGGGGAATGAAAAGTGTCGAGCTTGGTCCTTTACACTATTTCTACCAAGGGTTGACCTCTCGAGGGATATTGATTAGAGATGGCGTGAACTGCTACTTTTGAATCACTCGTGATTCAATCACGTTCATTCTATATCACGATGATTTTTCATAGTGATTCGTGATTCTTCGTTATCGCTTCTGATTGGTAGAGAACATTCTTTTCACTTTTTACGAATTATGTTGTTCTTAGATTATATGTGTATTATAATATGGTCTGAAAGCAATGTTACTATAATTTTAATACAATTTAAATTGGACTCATTTGTAGTTTCTTGAATATCCGCTAAAGGGAGACAGCAAGACACTAACGATACAATTAATATGAACCGCTTCTGAAACGCCATTTTTCGGATCACGACTGCGATCGTGATTGTGTGATCACCGTGAAAAAATCACTGTTAGTGATTTTTCACGCCATCCCTAATATTGACACATACGTGTACATTTTATATGAAAAGTACCGTTATTCATGATCGCAATACGTTTTAGAATTATAAAATATACGGCATTAAAGTTGGACAGCATATTTGTATGTCAAAATCGATTTACAGATCACGATTTCTTCGCTTAGAGCAAACAAGAAATACAACATTCATTTGTCCCTCAAGAGGTTAATCCTTTCAACCCAATTTTTGTATTCTATTAGTTTCACTTTTAGAAATTAATTGTATTAAGCTATAGTTGGCTATATATCGAACACTGTAGTTGAATAAAAAGAGACAATTTGCCCCAGCAAGAATGATTTTCATCTTATTAACCGACTTCGAAAAGAAGGAGGTTACTCAATTCGACGTGTATATTTTTTTTTTGCATATGTTTCTATGAGTCTCATTTGTAATTTGACCAAAAGGCAGTCACTGGGACATAGGTGTCTCACTAGAGTTGAAAGAGTTAAAATTGTAATACGTTAGCTTCATTATTATTATTATATTATTAAATAATAATTTTGATTGCACTTCATTTCCAGAAGCCAACGGCAATATACTGTAGATAATAGATTCCGTTTGGTTTTTCCGATTCAATAATTTAAACGCTATTTTTATTTTTGACCTATTTTTAGCTATTTTTATTTTTGACCTACGTGGTGTCTCTGAAAATAGAAAACATGCGATCGGTTTAAAAACTATTATTTTGTTTTTTATTCTGGTCAGTAAGTTTGTGACCTACTGATATCTAATACCTTTCTTTAGTATTTGCGCTTTTGATTACGGTATACAGTTTGGTGCAGCTTTGAATGAAACATTTGACACTGTTACGCGAGACAATCCACGTCAGCCCGCTATCTCGTTTCGTTAACAAGAGGCACGCAGTGCTGAGCTGCTTATCGGGTGAATTTCGAGAGAATACTGCATCACGTAGACGTATCGCGAAGTCATCCTTTTCGTCAATTGCGAAAAATTAGACGGTCGACGAACGGGAAAAAAAGGGCGACGAACGGGAAAAAAAGGGCGACGCACGCAGACGCACAAAAACGAACGAGCCAGCAGAACAATGATTAATTAATCGTCTCCCTGATGCTTTCGTTAAAACGTAATTCGTACCAATTCATTCCAATTTTAGGCCAGGCCTTCCGAGTGTGACATGAATGTAACGTAACGAAACTAATGCAAAATTAGTAGAAAGCAAGCTGCCTATATCATAGTAAATATTCTGCGAGGTGTTCCGTTTAGATCGGAATGGTTACATATTTCATGAGGAGATTAAGCGATTACAAAAATGGTTTTATAAAAGATATTCTGTATACGCGGTAAATTGTTCGTTACAAATAATTTTGTTGCAATTAGTGAGGAAAATTTGAAAAATAAAGTAACTTTTAAGTGGAACCTTTTATATTCTTATCAATCTATTTCTCGACTTATAATACATTTTTCTTTTTACCACAAACTTATTTACACCATATAATTTGTTCATTTGAATCAAATAACTTTTGTAAAAACATTTTTTCGATATCGTCATCTTCTCAAGGGATGTTTAGCCTTTTCGATTTAAACGAAACACCATGTATGATAACAAAATGACGATTAAATATTTCTACTAAAATTGAAGTTATAAATTGGATACAGAGGCATACAATTACTTTCTATACCTAACATTTGGCAGAAATATTTTTTAAAACTTAACCAACAGGGATATAAAAAAAAAAATACTATTTTCCCTTAAATTATAATAGTTCAGGGAAAGTATGTAGTATAGCAGAAATTGTAATCTAAACTAACATTTCCAAAAAATCGAGTTGGACGATTTGACTTCTGAAAAACTCATTCACTATCGGAGTTCAACACTGAAGAAATATATTTATCTTGCACCAGTTAAGACATTCCACTTATTTCATTTAATAGGTAACTCTATTCCTAAACAGAACTACAAAAATATTGTACAAATGAAGTATTTGATTCCTCGCAACCTTTTGTATTATACCACATTATCTATAGTGTAGTAAATGTAATAATTTCAAGAATTTGTAATACCTGGATATTATTATAGTTATTCGTTCATACGACAATATTGCAAGTATCTAATTTGCCATGAAGATTCTTTGATTAATTTCTCACATATTTCTCGATAAATCAAAACTTCAATGGATCAAAATTGAGAAAAACAAGTTAACTTCGAATGTATCGTAATTACGATAAACGTAATATAGATTGTTTATTATGGGTAGTGCATCCTAAAAGGGGTCCACTTGTCTGTGAGAAGCTGGTAGCTCACTTTGTGGAAGCTCATAAATAATTACGAATGCAGACTTCATTTTCCATAGTTTTATAGTTCCTGACCAATTAATCTAATGGTTCTATCAATTAGAACTGCTGGATAATTGTTTTAACAATTTTAAATATGAGAATCTGTACGTACACATACAGGGATGATCTGTTGTTCAATTGAGACGAGTTCTGATAAGACCAAAAGAGTTATTGGATAGTTTTGAACATGCTAATGCTAGTTTCGAAGAGTTCAATTACAACTATGAGATAGCTTTTTAAACAATTTTAAATGCAGAAATCGTATGACCACTCTCGCAACTCATTGTAATCGAGTTGCAGACTTAAAATTGTTTAAAAAATTATCCAAGCATTCTAATTGATAGAACTATAAGTATAATTGATCAATAACTATTAAACTATCGAAAATTATTCAGAAGTTTTAATTAATTATAAGCTTAGACAAAGTGAGTTACCAATTTCACACAATCGACTCACGTTGCAAACCATTGCTTTAACAAAACCATTGACCGAGAATCAACGCACTGCATTTATATTATATAATAGCAGAAAAAAATTCTTCTTCGGTTGTCTTTTTAAATAAAGAATTCAAGTTACAAACTGGGAGCATTTCGCGCACAAAGCGTCAACTGCTCTGACATTAAGAGACTGCGCGTGCCATTTGCGGGCCCGCTGTCAGCGGCCGTTTTGCATTGCAAACGACTTTCGTCCCATTGTTCGCCCTTACCCAATAATTCCTGTCGAAGCAACAGGCACGGAGAACCGAATAAACAGAGTAAAACAAAACGTTTGAAGGAAAATATCCCTAAACAAATAAAAATATAGAGAACCACGCACGCGGGTAAATTCGAGAGAGAAAGAGAAAAACGTCACCGCGTTCAGTCGCCTTCCCTGTCTAAACGTCGCTAAATGTCTCTTGAAAAGTAACAACGAAGGAGAGATTACGATTTTCATGGCGCCGCGATTTCACTGTGTTTTATTTAATATGATTTATTAAAACAAGAATGTTGCAAACGGTGATTCTCTGTCATGTTTAGTTTAGAAGTTTTGTTTATTTAAAGTTTCATAATATCACGTTTATTTGACAGAAGACGATGACCTCTGTTTGAGACTTTCGGCCTTTGACTGTGAAGCTTATTTACATTCACTATAACTAGACTGTAGATTATTATGCATTTATAGGAAATTTGAATGTGCGAAAAACTATAAAATGCACACAGTATGCAATAATATACAAATATATTGAAAATAGAGTGTATATTGTAATATTTGCAGAGTTAAATTTCTCTGTAGGTTCTAATTTTGTAGATACAAGGATGACAGTATAATTATAACGTACACGAATCTCTTACTATTTGAAATATAATTCTATAACACCTCATTACGTTGTCCATGATTGGAGTCTATGCAAAGAACAATCACACCCACCCAGTGACTCTATATGAATAAGATCCAAGGAATTTAATCGGGTTTTTATTTAATATAATTTATCAAAACCTAGTGCCTTAAACCGCAATTCTTTATTAAGTTTAGTTTATAAACTGTATTCATTATACATATAATATTATCAAACTTCAAATGATTGTAAGAATTACGGTTTTCAGCATTGTTTTTCTAACAAATTGTATCGAATAGAAACACGGTCAAATCGCAACGCCACGGAAACCGTAATCGTGCCTAAGAAAAATTCTCTTCCATATTCGAATAAACAAATAAAAAGGAATAAAAATATGAAGAAGCATACACGCGGTTAAATTCGAAAGAGAAAACTGTCACCAACCTTTAGTCGCCTCCCTGTTTAAACACCGCTAAATGTCCCTTGGAAGTCACAGCAAAAATCCTGTTTTTGTTGTCGAATATCGAGTCCTGACCGACGACCGTGCACAAGAACGAAACTGTCTAACGAGCGTTCCTTCTGTCAAGCTATCGCGATCGATAACACTCGATTCCTAAACGCGATGTTGCGCGGTCAAAGCGCGGAGCTGAACTGAAGCTAAAGCCGCTGATGATCACAGTTATATTGCTGCGCGCACCCACGAACACAGGTAGACCGCTCTCATTCTAAAAGGCTGAATTCATTCTCCAACTACATTACATCCGAAAAGTAAACAAAAAATTCACAGTCTACGAATATGTCAATATTTTTCAGATCTGGCGTCCACAATTGAGGACACAAAATTTGAAAATTACACGAAGATCAGTTTTCCTCGAAAACTACACTATTAAGATTTTTTCTTTTATTTTTTGCATACTAACCCTTTGCACTCGAGGCCTTTTTTTCTGGTATCTACCAGCAACTCGAGATGCTTTCTTAGCATTCTAGTGCCACGAATGCTAAGATTATATTGACTTCGAAAAAGAGATTCTTAATTTGAGATTTGAGAATCAGGTCACCTTTGCCTCAACGACAATCATTTTATTGACACTTCGAGTTCCAAAGAAATTAATTCTAAAGAAAACAACCTAGTGGTGAGTGAGAGTCACTTCTCGAGTGCAAAGGGCTAATTTTAGTCCAAGTGAACCCTTAAAATTAAATTAATTTATTAAATTATTAGGTTGTCCCAAAAGTTTATTTCGTTTTATTAGTAAGTAATACATACACGATATTTTATGTCTAATGTTACATGATTGAATTGTCTACGATTCATTTTGCTCCATTACTGTTATAACATCAATATCTACGAAATTAGATTGTCTATTTATATAAACACTGCCACACAAAATAATTGAGTGGAAATTACGAAAGAAACTTTTGGGACAACCTAATAGATTAGTATGAGAAAAAAAAATAATTCAGGTCTGAAAGGGTTAATGTGTCAATTATTAGTGTCTTTACCTTACCTAGATTTTATCTGAGTGAGTGAGTGAGTTTTATTTATAAGGTTTCGAAGTCATATAACTTGACTATAACGCCTAATGTATCAATGTTGCATTTGTTAATTCTTTACGTTCATTTAATTCTAGTTTTGTATTACTTTGCGTTTGCATTTGCTTAGATGCATCTCTTCGTAATTCTCTTATTAGGGATACCGGTAGCTTGTTGGGGCCCACTGGCTCCCCAATAGCTCGGGTACCTCGGGATTGCTACACCCGTACTGTAGCTATGTACAATCAAACATAGCTACAGCCCCTGAGGGAGCCATTAAAATACTATTACAGAATATATAAGGTACAACATAAACTCGTACGATCAAATATTTTCTTTGTAATGGTTTTATCTAGATACTAATCTATACTAATGTTGTAAAGAAGAAAAATTGTTTGTATGCAACGAGTAATCTCTGGAAAATTTGTTTAGGAATAAAAGAGAATTGACTATTCTATTATTCTATTCTATTTCTATTTAATCACTTAGTAAATTCCAATTTTGTAAATACGGAGATACTTCATATTTACAAAAAGGATAGTATTCTACACGGATAAAACCGTGGTGCGCAGCTAGTATTTTGTGTAAAACATTTTTCCTAAAAATCGATGAGTTAGTAGATATTTTAGATGGTACATAGCTCCCCCGAGGAATGCCCACTATTTTTTTCATTGATAAAATGTATGCTTGGAATCGGCCCCGATTCACAAGCAGTGTATTTACACATCATACAAGTAACAAGAAGATGCATAAATAAATTGTTTACAATGGATTGCTTAACATTAACTTATATCTAATAGGAACATTGCTATATTATAATCTGATATTTATATTATTAAAAATATAATTTGTAATCTTTATTATTTTGATTCCCGGTGCTTGTAGTAGTAAATGAATAATTAATGCCTCTTCAATTACAGAACCGATGCTTCCATCTCGCACGAATGAACAGAATTATGAATCTGTGTAATCGGTAAAATTACCTTCTCAGACGATAATACCGACGGCCAGCAACTTCAGCCGGTGATTGCTTGTAATCTAAGATTCTTGAACACCTGTTAGCTGAAAACCTGTTCCGCACGATCCGTTTCACGTTGCTATCTTACGAATATCGATCTTTGAAAGAACTACTTAACCCTGTACAGCTCACCTTTCCTATGGTTGAACAATTTCATTTGTACAAAGTTATACTAAAATTTGACCTGTGAATAACATTTTACTGTTAGAACTCCGAAAACAGCCCTAGAAGAAGAAAAATTCTAGCATTTTGTACTTTGAACTAAATTTCTTATCGAAAAGAAATTAAATTCAAGGGAAACGTTGAAATATGTCACTATTTAAGCTATATTCTTATTAGCCATTATCTCTTCACTTTCTACTTATTAAAATCAACAGACTCGCACTATTTCAGTTATTTATACGATTCCGGATATCGTGTGAGCTAAGATAAGCGATATATGACAACATTAAATAAAATGATGTCTTTCGAAAATGTAAAACTTTTAGCGTTAACGAAGTCGTAAAAACTACATATAATTCTGAATCTAATAATGAGAAGTAGGCAAAATTGTTAACTAGATGAAAAAGAAGAGATAAAGAACGTTGTATTCTCTTATTGTTGAATAAATTTGTATAACAAATGCATTTTCGTAGAATAAATGAGTAAATAAATGAATGAATTATAAAATGAAAGCTAATAAAGAATTGTTAATGCACCTCTTGCATCGAATACATTATCTAACGATATAAACCCTATATAATTAATGTAAATATTATTATGTGCGCATTTTTCTAATTTAACATTCGTTAATGAAAATGACCGACTTATGCATTAGTTGGTGGTGGAAAGAATTAGGAAACCCTGAGAAAGGTTAATCGTAAAATCGTTACCAGAATATATTTAGTTTACAAGAATTTTTCGCATAGTGCAACAATGCATAGTACACCGTGCACTCTCTCATACGTAACAAGCATACTCGATCATCGTTGTACAAGAAAAGTCCTGCCGAATGCACAGGACGGCCATTGTTTTCCTCGGCTATGTAGAACCAGAGACGAGCAATAGTTCACTCGAACGATAGATAACGTACGAAACCAACTTATAACACTTCGCAGGACGTTATTTCGATCGAACAGTTTAATGTTTCGTTGATCGTCGAGACATTTTTGTTTCCATCGTTCAAATTTTTATTTCACTAGAAACGAATAAGTAATTCTTTATCGTTTATTCGTTATTCGAAACTTTGATCTAGAATTTGCCAATTTCAAAGCTCATCTCATCGCAATCACACTTGTTTTCACGCTCGAATGCCCGCCGATATTTTCAGCTAAATTCCAATCATCAAACGGTTGGATTTACCTCCGTTTGACACAAACTATTCTTTTTTTTTATCTTTTCTTTATTAAGAATCACGCTCCTTTTTTCGGTAAGGCACGATATACGTTTTATCATGTGCATCACACGAATCGATGGATCTAAAACTTTTATTAGTCTTAACGAGCAATAAACATTTGCCAATGAACGAAATAATTTTATTTTGTAACGGTGTAAAGGTTACACGAACTTTATTTTGTTCACAAATTGTTTCATAATTACTGTTTTATTATTGTACTAAGCCAACGCGATTGTTAATAATAGGAATGAAGTCAATATTTTTATTAGTTTCTGAGAAAGCAGCATGTGAAACTTTATACGGGACACTTTGTATAATAACATTGACTTTCGTCGAATTTGTTAAAATTGTAGATATTAGAAAGAGAATCTTCTGTGATTGCATAGTTCATTTTAATAACATTGAAATGTATGAGTTGACTCATGTTAAATAAATACAATAAAAAATATTGGACTGCGAATATTTATGCATTTATAGCGAAAGGAAGTATGAGGAAATCTATGAGAATTAGAAGAGTTTAGAATATAGGACAAGAATATATAAGACATCAACTATAATAATATAAATATTATGGCGTTTAGAAGGTTGAACATACTTTCGTTTGAGCATTAATTTTTTTTCCGTGTCTGTGAAAATATGAATTTGCGAATAAATATCCGCCGCCTTCTAATTATGAAGCAATTTATGAACTTCTCGATTTATGAAAACTCTTTAATTTTACTCTATGAAAAACATCGTTACTCTTCCAAATAACATTTGTGAAAATTCGTGAAGGAGCAAAAGCTTGATGGTCGAAAATCTTCATTGTTTTCTCATTAAGACGGATAATCGTTAATTTGTTCCTGCCAAAACAAGCACGAGAACATACTATTATTTCACGAAACGATTTTCTTTCCAGTTTTCGATTCGTCGAAGGTACGCTTAGGTTGGGGGTTAAAATCTAGTTTAAACAAAAGATTCACTCCCCTGTTGCACGTTTTGGTTTTGATTTCTCTTGAGCAGAATGTCGTTCTTTGAGAACACTTCCTTAAACACTACATAGAATATTCCGTGTTTCTAGATCCGTGGATCGTAAGAATCAAACGATTGCAAAGAACCATCGGTAAAATCGAAGCGAACCGTCGTCTTTCGCGATTCTTGGTTCACTCGTGCGCGGTAACTTTTGCCATTTTGTTTCGCAACACTAAATATAATTATGTGTATTCGTATAATTTTCTTAAAAAAGAAAGGAAAAACAAAGAAACCGAGCGACGAACTCAATGGTAGGTGAACGCGTTGTGTATACAAGTAAAAATATGTATATGCGTAACAAACATACACTGCTGTTCAAAAGTTACAGAAGCTTAACTAGCTCTTAATATTTTATACATTCGAAAGCTTGCTAAAAAAATGAAAGATTATCGCATTTGTCTTGCATTAATGTATGTTAACTACAACTGTGTTGATTTACCTATTTCTTCGGGTAATATTTTTTAAATTTGAATATTTTAGAAAGCTTACCATAAAATATCTTTTCATCGATATACCTCTACTTTAACGACACTTAGGCTAGTTTTCCTATAGTTTCAGTTGAGATATCACTTCATTCTTGTTGGAATATAATTTACGCATCTTTCGTAATCATGGTCATATTAAAAAAAAAACTAAGAATAGGAGTTTACCCGTTGCCTTGATTACAAAACGTACCACGAAAATGTCGAATATATTTTTTGAACTACCTAAAATAATTAGTTACACTATTGTCGAATGACTAACATTAAATATATATGGAGAAGTTGTCTTAATCGAATGATTGCCATAATAGATATGCGTTGACCTTGGTAGTTTTAGTAAATTAACTAAATCTTGAATATCAACGTTATTATTGTTTACACGTAGACTGTCTAACGAACTATAATCTTCACATAGACGCAATATGGAGTCGATTCTTCAGCTTCTTTTCAGTCACGGTACGCAGAGACTGACACAATGGCGTAGTCTAAATAAAAAGTTAAATAATTCATCAATTTTTATCTACAAGTACAACTACATCGAGTAACAAGGGTAAAATAGCATAGATTATTAAAAATAGCAGGGGTCCTGTAACTTTTGTGCAGCAGTGTATACGAATACGTAATTGCTATTCGTATCGTTCATAGAAACATCACTCTACGTTATTACCAATTGTCCCTCACGATCAAATCAGTATTCCACATCTTGTCGCGGATCGCGTTGGACTCTTTCCATAAGTTACAAAAATATCCCTAAAAGCTACGATTCGCATAGAAAACTTTACAGAAAAGAGAAAAATATATTGGAAGCATACTATTATAATAAAATTTCTTATAAAATGTCGTAGAAGGAACAACAGAGTTGACCGTAGAGGAGTCGTCTGATTAGGTACAAACAATCAGTTTGACTTCGAAAGAATCAAACTATTTTCACTTGGGATATCATAGTATCATCAAATATTAACGGGTAGAAACAGCAATAACAAAAAAAGTGAACGGTCGATTAATATAAGGTTGCGTATTTTGGTTTACTATTACATGAAAGAAGAAAAATCTTGATACATTTTAAAAAATGTGTTGTCTAGAAAAATGTCTATTTTTGTAAAAATTAACATGTTGGCAGGCATGTAAAGTTTGTAAAAAAAATTTATAGAATAAAATATTGCATTTTATGATGTCTGGGGTTTTTGTTATAACTTCTTTCGATTTGCCGGAATTTATCCCAATACGATGCATCGCAAGGCTTCGAAAACAATTATTTTTTTTAAATATCACCAGGATTTTTTAAAATTCATTTATTATTATAACGAAGTATGTTATATTAATCATACTTTTTGGGGCTGTCACTGTATTCTACCCTCTTAAAGTAACCCCTTGCCCTACCGTTCACTATCACGCTCCTTCCTTTCTTCAACGTGTCCGACTCGTGTCTTTCATATTCGTCCCGAATTCCGTACCACGAGTCTCACGGGTGGTCGCAGGCCAAGGGGTTAACCTACTTTTCTCGTAAACAATTAATTGGTCCTTGAATCGTTAGTTTCTTTCATCGCGCGATTAAGACTGCGCCATAATCACAACCGCGCAAGATTTGAATCAGGCCAATTCTCGTCACGGCTGAAACAGCTTCTCACGGTAACATCGCGCCGAGACTCGTCGCACTACTAAATCCAATAAACTTCCTACATTCGTCGCGTGCTAAAAAACAATCTATCCAGCAAACGCGTTTCTCGCGCACTTGAAATACAAGTCACTTCCACGTCGCTCGATCGATTCACGGGTTCGCGGTTTGCTCCTCGATCGGCGAGTTCATAGTTCCGGAGTTCATCGAACTCGTTCAAACGTAGTCTGCCCACTTCGACGGATCTCCTCGGTGAAGATTCGTTAAGAGAGTTTCGATTTATTCTCTCCAATACGAGAGCATAGAATCCAACGAGTTTTCTTAGACGGATATTCGTAACCAGCAAATCCGAATCAGACCAAATCCACCGATCGACAGGTCTTAATGTAAAGTGTTTCTTGGTTTAGAAAATCGAATGTAGCGAGAATTCGAACATGAGATTGAATTCCAAGAGAGAAGAAGAAGAAGCCCTTGAAAGTTTCTCCTCCGTGGAGCTCTGCTGGCCAGATCCGTGAGCCTCGTCATCGTTAAGGATACCGAGGGTCTGTCAGATACCTCGAGGAATGGTGGATGTTGTGATACGACCTACTTCTTCTGTGGTCGCTGTGAAGCTGATTGGCAGACCTGTAGGCGGGATGGGGCCCGATGTAGGGTACCGTTCTGACGGTGCGACGCTCCAGATCAGCCTGGAGCTCCTGCAACGCGCCAGCATAGTCTGGCGGTGGTGATACGGGTTGCGCGGCTGTCTGGAACTGGGACATGCCGTAGAGAACCCCGATGGATCTTCTCCAGACGTCATGACGCCTGTTGTTCTCCTGCTCCAGCTGACTCTCCCGTTGTCTGCTCTGCGAGGAGCTGCTCTCCGTCGAGTTGCTGTCTTCGCTGGTCCCTAGTCCAGGATCTCTCTCTTCGAACGCGGCCAGGCTGGTCGCGGGACTTCCCTGAAGACTCTTCCCCGCGTGATGATAGTAAGAGATACTAGGGTGTGGAATCACGTATGGCTGCTGAAGCTTGCCGCTCAGCTCGTTCTCTCTCATCGCTAATTTTCGCTGCTTCGTTTGCTCGGTGTCCTCATCATCGACAGTCGTAGGGCCGAACAGGGACAACAAAACGGGAAGCAAGAGCATGCCGTGCATGGCTCCTATAAAGATTACTAGAAATACCATCTTGAAGAACACCATGAAGATGTAGGTGCCGGCGAGAACCAGGGCGACCAAGCCTAGAATCGTGGAAGTGGCACCCTGGACTATCGGTAGCCCAAGGCTGTAAAGGCTCTCCTTGACCCGGTCGTCGGGAGTCTTCTGCTTGGAGCTCATGTAGGCGTAGCAAATGTGGGCGGTGAAGTCGACGCTGAAGCCAATGCACATAATTAAATTGATCATGGATATACTGTCCAGGTTAACGTCCCAGAGGGCCATGTATCCAGCGACTCCTAATTCGATGGAGATGATGCAGAACGCCACCCAGAGACAGCACAGGACGTTTGGTATGAAGATGAAGCTGATCAGCATCATGATCAGGGCACCGAACACCATGCACTGGATGCTCGTCGGCTTCACTAACTCGAATTGATCGAAAAACACAAAGTACGGATGGAAGACGCTCGCGTTCAAAGGTGAATCCGCGCAAATACGACGCAGCTCCTTCACCATGTCCTTCTCTTGATTGGTTCCGCTCACGTTCACCGCTTGGATCATGAATCGACTCGCCACGATGTGCTCTTCCGCCTCGTCGAACTTTACATCCAGAGAGAAGCTGGTTTTCGGGGACAGCCAAGTTTCCTTCAGAGTTGTTATGAAGCTCTCCTCGTTCGTGATGTTTACTTCCGTCCCGCTGTAGTTCACGTAGTTGAGGAATCCTCGTAACCAGCTCTCTGTGTAGATAGGAGCACTGCTGATGTAGCCGCTGGCCTCCAGAGACCTCGTTAGGTTCTCTACTTGTTGCTGAACAACCGGGTCGCTGTAGTCGTACTCGCCGCTGACAACCACCTGAAACACACGACAAATGGTTTTAGGATTTTATGAATGGTTTATTGAAGTACGGAATGTTTACGTTGGTGCAGTCTTGGGCATCTGTGTTTTCTTCCATTTCACATTTACATTGTTTCACGTCAATCCTTAAATTCCTACGCTACAATGATTTACGTTAGTTCTTAAATTCTCACGTTATATTTAGACTGCGGATCTTTATACATTTATAATATGTCGAAACATGCAAAATATATGCAAGATGTATGTAAGGTATACGCTAAATATAACTATAAGGAATGTATGTATGGATCTATAAAATAATTATATAATAACTACTTATTATTACTATATAATTATTTGATAACTATTTTTTATTGTTTTCTTTTTATTATTATTTAAATTACAACATACAACAATAGTTTTTTCAATGTTTTCGATTGTAAATTGATGCCTCTTATCTGTTAAAATTAATTTATACGCCGAAAAAGAGCAATCTACGTCACATAATGTTATAGGGGAATATTTAAATTTATTCCAATGTTGTGCCAGAACCTCTCATGGTTCTTCAATGTGTTCACCCTTTAAAATCTTGCTTATTTTGAGTAATATATTAAAATGAACGTTTCGTTTTAACACTGATTCCATTGTGCGCAATATCGTGCATAGATATAGATAAAATGGATATTCTATTTCACGAATAACTTCTTTCAGAAGTTGTTGTATATTGCAAATAATTCTTGTTGAATATTTTGTCCCAATGTCGGTCTACTCCTTTTTTAATCATTTTTTCAGCATTTCTTTTTTCATATTTTCTTCTAATACGCTGGTCTAATTCATGTCATAAATTTTCTACAAAAGTTTTCAATATAACGAACTGTTACCATGTATCTAATGATTGTATACATTTGACTCGTGCCATTAAAAAACTATTTTCTAACGTTCACGGCCATTCATTTTCTCACAAGTACTGCTTAAAAAACCACAATTCTCGTTTAATTACATTGGTAAATAATACTGTAAACACCCTGTATATACGCCAGCAGAGTTCTAAAGAAATCACAGCTAGTCGAGCGACTAAATCAACCAGAAGTCAACTTTCAGGGTCTTTAACTAAAAACCGCAGGTTGCAATCACTGATCCAAACAAACCATTGGGTGGACCGAGTGCTGACTTTCGATCGCAATCGCTTTATCCGGGATATCGAACGAGTCTATTCAACCGAACTCGTCGAAGCGAGGAACGCGGTAACCACACCGATACACCTGGACTTCCCAGCGTGCGATCTTCCCGGTCCTGGGCTCGAAAATCGCGAAAGTATCGTCTGATGCAACCAGTCCGTCAGTTTTTCTCGAATCTACGAGAGCTACGGCCGTGGCGCCTGGAGAAAGTTCCTGAAGCGGACGTATCGAGTGGAGCAACGTGACATAATTGCTAGTATGTCGAATCATGCGACCACGGCGCGACGTAACGCGTTCTTGGAAGACTGGCCACGGTTCCCTCTCCTCGAACCTCTCGCGAGATGAAAGGCTTTCCCCGTTCTCCGAACCGGACGCGCTACGCACTTCCAATTTTACGAGAAACAAATATATCGTACGTGTATTGGCTGGAGTTATATACAAGGAACGTGACTTTTCAGTTTCTACCATGAGGAAGTCGGATTATTGCTCCTCCGTTAACCCCTTGCGCTACCATTCAACTAGGAAAAATCCGAATAGTGGTTGTAACGACCGACGGTTTGCGCAACGCTAGTCTAAAATTGTAATCGAGCCTGGTTAAAAAGTCTTCGTGGTGTAACGACCGAAAAAATAAGCATACTTTAGGAATTTTTTTTAAAGTCTATAAAATTAAGAACGATTTTAATGGTTTTTTTTTAGTAATAGTATTATATTATTCAGAAAGAGAACAGAAATATTATTGTACGAACTTTTTAGTAATTCTTTATTGATTTATATTAACGTTGATACTAAACCTACCACGACCGGCTAAATTGCCGTTTTCCAACTTTTGTGTAGAGTTTTTATACAAGATATGAAAATTATATACAAATGTTTCATGTGTTATTGAACTTGGAATCACGTGAAATATTTGTGCATGCAATTGAAAAATGTGTTTCTAAGATCAGTCATTTAATCGATCACGGTAGAAATAGGTAACGAATGAAATGTCGGTAGGTTTCGTATTAAAATAACTCTTATCGATGTCGTTATCTTCATCGTCGAGATATTTTGAAAACGGTTTGGCTGAGATAAGGAATTGAAATAGTTTATTAAAATATATGAGTGTGGTTATCGTGCGAAGCAGAATGAACCGTTAAGTTAAAAAATAAAGAAAATGACGCTCATTTAAAATTAAGTAACTGAATATATTTATATAGTAACCAAACTTTTTATCAGCCATTTTATATTAAAGAAAGTATACAATTTTCAATTTTTAAAGACCTTAAGTAACAAGAATATCAATCAAAAAATCTATTTTTTTACAAAAAAGAGTGCTAATTCCACATACAGAAGTCCTAAGAGCAATCGTCTCAATTATAAAGGCGATTCTTCCTAATAATAGAGAAATATCAATCTTAGTTAAAGAGGTTCGAGAGGTTAGTCTTACTAACAAAAGTTTCAAGGTAAAACAATGTCAGAACTTTATAATTAGTCCCAATAATAGAGATTCTCCACTTATCCTGTTTTGACTGTATTTCCAAACGGTTGATTTAATTTTTTACTTCTTTCCAAGCTAATGTACCCTATCTATATTCTACATTTTCCTTCTCGTGGTCTATCATCATTCTCGCTAATTACCCCTTTCGCTGCAGATCCAGCTTAGAACTATTACATTCTGTTTCAACGGACAAAGCGGACAAACGTCACTGGGACTTGGCGAGCACAATGCTGTCGATCACAAAAAACATTTTCCTTTTGTTTGGCTGGCCATTTTCAAGGTATACTACTTTATTTAGAAAAATAATAATTTAGAAAAGCTATACATGCAGTATAGCTGACTGGATGCAGTAAGAACTGAAACGCAATTGTAATTGTAAATAAAGTAGAAGCAACATCAAAATGGAAGAAAGATATATGTATCATTAGATTGTGGATTTCATGTATTTATGACGTATAGTCATAATATGGAAAACATACAAAAAATATGCATCATATAATATATATTAAATATATTCTACAATTAATGTACTAATATCGTTATTTCGTTTTGCATAAGTACACACCCACACACACACACACACACACACACACGCGCGCGCGCACGCACGCACGCACGCACGCACGCACACACACACACACACACACATACCTTTTGGTTATATTTAGCATGTATTTAGTATTAGTTTGTATCATAAATGCATAAAATCTGCAGTTTAATAATAAGTAATCTTTATTTCCATTATGATGTTGCTTATATTTTATTTACAATTACAATCAGCAACAAAGAACAATGTCGACAGATTGTTATCAGTGATGTGTAGTGCTTGTCGAAAATGAACAATGTCTACATAGAATGCATTTGTGCAGTCTAAGGAATCAAGAAACAACGATCATTTTATCGAAACATAATGATAAAGTAATGAGAACTGGTAAACATTGGAATTCGTAGAGAGCAAAAGTCGATAAATGAAATTCATTCTCCTACTTCTTGGATAACGTTCTGTTCACGAGGTAATTATTTGGAAAATTATTCAGGAAGTCTATGGAAGGTTGCGTGTTCGGTTTTAAAACCAAAAAATCGTAACACTATTCTTACAGGAGAGAAGTATTACGTTTGCCAAAGATGTAATCACGCGCTATACCGAAAGGTAGACTTTATTAGGCTCTTGTTAGAAAAGAAAAATGTTTACATAACGCGCATTTATGCATCTTAAGAAAGCGGAGAACAATAGTTATCCAATGGACACATGGCGAGGAAGTTGGAAAGTTTCAAATAATATACGTAAGTTATATAGAGTATTCATTTGAAAACTTTCCAGCAGAGTATCTTGAAAAGTACGAAAGATATTAAGAATGTGAAAAACAACGATTCAAAGGATTTCGTGGGGGAAAGAGGGTGGCAGTATCAGTTAAGGTATTTTCATTATTATAGTCCTGCAGCTGATAAAAAGAAAAATTCGAACATGTATATTATATTGATCTTCAAAATGACGTTGTGAAGTTTTTGGTACAAAATCAATGAGACCTGTACTTGAAATTTTCTTTGGCAAAATCTTTTATTCGTCATGCACACAAAAGATCGAAGGGTTCTCCACAATTTAAGCAATAGTGAATCTGAACAAAACAAAATATACAGTATAAATTAAGAGAAGTATAGTTTGTCATTGCAAAAGGTTTAGGAGACTATTACCGTGTGCGACCTTACCCCCTCACAACTGAATGATGGGAGGGAGGAGTCCCTTAGATGGGACATATGAAGGACAAATGGAGGGAGATCTTCTCCTCAATGGGGGATTCATAAATCTCTTCCCACGTTTTTTCTTTCTGAAAAGAAAGTCCACGAAATAGATTTTGGTTTCTCGTGGAGGTGTGCTTTTTGCTTTGATGCTGTTGTTGTTGCTGATGCTGATGCTGGTGTTGATTATTGCTGCTGGTTTTGGTGTCGCAGTGTACTCTGCGGGGAACGCACACTGGGGAAAGCCCGTCTCCTAATTCCCGCTTGAGAATTCTTCGCAGAACGCTTATATAGGAATCAAAGCTCGATCGAGAACTAGTGAGAAATGAGTTGATCGACCTAGCCCTCTGGTAGCGAATACGAAAGATTTCGCCAACACGTTACTCCCAGAGGGCATTAATGTCGGAAGAGCGCGATGATCCCTACCTTTATCATTGGAAGACGGTAATTTGCCGAGCGCCAGCAAATTGAATAGCACAGGGGCGAGATAACTAGGTCGCTAAGTCCTCACAATTCATAGTTAGCTTTTCTTTGGTCACTTTCAAGTTGGGTTGCAAATAAGAATTGTAAATAATATAATACTTAAGTAATGCATTATGAAAAAAATAGCTCGATATTGAAAACATGGGTAATGACAGTTCCATTTTACATTACAAAAGTAGTGGATAATTAAAAAGTAGTGGATAATTAAAAAGTAGCCCATTACAAATTAAGAAAGTAATAACAAAGTACAAATTACAAAAGTAATGGGTAACAGACGAATGATCCACTAAAAATTGAGAAAGTAATAGCTAGCGATTAAATGATCCATTAAAATTTGAGGAAGTAATGTACAATACTCTTGTAATGTGTAATGGATGACGATTCCGTTACAAATTACAAAAATTGTTGGCAATGGATAACCATTCCATAACATATTACAAAAGAAATGGGAAATGATCGAGTGACCCATTACAAATGACAAAAGTATTAAATTTATAGACGAGCGTTCTATTAAAAATTGAAAAATTAATAGGTAACGAATAAATGGCCCATTAAAATCTGAAAAAATAATGTAGGTTTTTTATTTAATTACTTTTGTAATATGTAATGAAACGTTAACCCATTGTTGATTTTTTTTTTTTTTTTTTATGAGTAATGCATTACTTTTTTACGTCTCTGGTCTCAACGTTAGAAACAATAGAAACGAAATCATACCACCTTGTATAAGAGTGACGCGCATTACCAGCTGCGGTCTCATACGTATGGTGATCATGTATACAAGAACGACATCTGATCGTTGCTTCTCATATACGATTCTTTTTGTCAATGTTATTTGTTTGGTAATTAGCTTTCTCAAGATGGGTCGAACAGAGTTATGAGTTATTCGTTTCTCTAATTTATTATGAGAGTTTAAACACATATCCTCCGATTTACTCGTTCTACTAGGTTTCGTTTTTTGCGGAAGAATACTAATAAAAATTATGAAATTATTAATCTTTCTCGTATCTTTGTAAGCAAATCCTAATTAGAATCAAGCAACCTATGTGTTGTGTCAATTTTTACAGTTGTTGGTCGGTGATCGAATATTTTGTTATATGATTTCCACAAGTCCCGATAATATTATATAGTTATATATTAATAATTATTATTCAAATTGTATACTACTATATCGACATTTTATTAAATTAATTAATTCAATTTATTTTCACCAGGCTGTCATACACATCTCGTTGTATGTGCTTCCCCCCTTAACCCTTTGCGCTCGAGACATTTTTCTATAAAATCATGTCCAGTCCATTGTTACAATAAATTTTTGTAAAACTAAAAACTCTATTTCGAGAAGAAAAATCTACGAATATTCGTGACTCAATTATATTTCTCTATTATTTCAATTAATAATTAGTTGTATTCTGAAATAAGTAAAATTGATATTGTACGTTCAAGAAATCACTTTTAACTTGCATATGTCGCCCTAGAGGCGCCACACGAGTGCAAAGGGTTAAACGAAGGGATATTTACCGCATAAATCTAAGTACAGCTGTACAAAATTAACATTACTGACCTGTATCCGATAAGGAAATTCCCGGAAGTAGTAATCTTGGCGGTCGTAGAAGACGATCGAATAGGAATCATTCTTGGAGAGCTTGCGACGATCCAAGCCTTCCTGAAGAGTCGTTAATCCGTAGAGTGCACCGGCCAGGTAACACACGAATATTAGAATGACTATGGCCTTGATGGGTCGACAGTTCAACGCAACAGCCAAGTAATCGCGGAACCAACTCATGCAGCCGTGCTCTGGATTATCGATCGGATTGTACGGATCATCTGGATTCACTCCTCCTGAGCACAACGCTCTATACAGCCAAGATCGGTGCACTGAAAAATAAAAAAACATTACACGTGTCTGATTTGACAATAACGTCTATCGTACTTTGGATCGTCTGTAGAAGTCGAAATAATTCGAATAGCCTCCATAAATTTTAACCTTGCATTACCAAATATATTTATTTTTGTAAAATGAAAAAGGAAATTGATCTTTTGAAAGTGTCGCACACCAGCAAGACCTCTTAACACATAAGGACACGTAATAAAAATTATTTTTATATTACCCATCTGTTTTAGGACAAGTTTAATTCTGTAAAATATATTTCCACCGAAAGAATGAGGCATTAATAAAAATACAGTATGAGCAAAACCAAACAACTAATCGTTTATGGATCGATGATGTAATGATATATTGTGTGATAAGTTACCCTGCGGATTTTTATGCATTTATAAGAAATTCGAATGTGCGAGGAACTACAAAATGGACACACTATGCAATAACATAAAAAAAAGACATTGAAACTAAAGTTCATATTAAAATATATTCAGAGTAAAATAAATTCCCGAAACATCAAATGAACGATAAAACGGCTTGGGCACGAAACGTGTTAATCCTCGGATGGTGACGTCGACGTTGTTCGGAGCAACGTCTGCACGTATCGTTGACGATGCCCGAAGTCCGGAGAAAGCGTCTCCGTTACACGGCATGTTATGATCTAACGAATTAACGACATCGAACGTAACCACGCTTTTCTGACGTAACACCGTGCACCTAGAGATCTTGAGTCCCGGTTTTTCATTAAATCAAATCGCAACGAAGGGAAACGTGTCTCGGTGACGACATCGTACCTAGAGAAAGTTTCCCAATGACGCACAACGATCCAGATCGCGCGACTTTTGCCGCCTCGATCCGTTGTACGTCAACGATCGATATCGACAGATTTTCCTTCCGTCGGAAAGAACGCTGGACATTTTCACAGAATGTTAATATGTACTACTGACGGATGTAACGTACATACCGATTCAAACTGTTTAAAGAAGACGGGAGACATTTGGGTCATTTCGATTGATTTGATGTATTATGGCGCTTTGCCAACCTTCTAGAAGGATTTCCAGCGGAAAGCTAGAAGGATCTCGTTGAGTCTGTTTAAAACTCGCATCTATGTAGTATGCACAGGCCACTCACGAAATACAGTTTTCTTAAATCAAATATAGTTTTCTTATGTTTCTATATATTTCTACATATTTCTTATATTTCTTATATAACTAACTATAGTTTTCTTAAATTAAAAGTTGTCTTTTCACTATCAATCAATACTTTTTTTCATTGATATAAAGGAAAGCTGTTTTGTTTACAAAAGGAATTACTTTTTGTTTTATTGTCTCAGGTAGAATCACACCCTGCTCAAATGTTCTACACTTGTATATTCATATTTTTGTTTTTAGGTTATATAGTGCATTCGTCAATTAAGTATCCTTTCACTAACCTACATGATGCCTAGAATAAACGATAACATTATACTATTCTTAAGAGATATGTATGTAAAGTGTGTCATTACTTTGTCATCAGTGCATTTAAAGATAAATGTCAAAGAGAAAGGACGAATGGTTAAAGTACTATGTTCGTTTGTAGGACTAGTTTTTTTCTATATAAATGCAATGATTCATGTGCAATCGGTAGTTGTATTATTTTTTTTAATGAAATGCAAATTTTTTGTTGTATAGACTGAATCCTTTTTGTATTCCACGTAAAAACAAAAATTTAAGGTAAAGTGTTAAACAAATCATTAGTTTATGAGATGTTTGAAACAATTGTCTATGTTGAAGAAATAAAATGTGTAAATAGTAATGGAGAAGCTATTCGGGCATCTTTCTCATGACAAACAATTGTTCTTTGAATCACTCATGACTTGTACACATTTACTTGGCTCAACCTGTATAATATACACCGAGGATAATTCAAGAAGTATGATCTTTTATCATATTTTTTTTCCACCAAGTGGATCCGGTGCGCGTCATAGTAACAATACGAAATAACGCCGAAAATAGTTTGAAAGGAATTGACGTGCACGACACACGACACGATTCGACAAACAGCGGATGTTAAGCCACGACGATGAATTTCCTGATGTAACCAGACATTAAATTACGATCTGTAAATCGTCCAGAATCACTCGATGGCAACGACCTGCTAGCTCTGTCGAGATCTTCCGGCGTTTCTCGATCGAAGCGACCAAAAATCCTGACGTGCACTTGGCAATATACAACTTTAATATTCGGACTTAAATAATATATTCAAATATATTTTTTACGAATTAAAACTTAATATATTTTTGTTCTGATGGACGCGTGATGGTATGGCGCAAGAAAAATGAAGAAAGATAAAAGAAATACAAAATCTGTCATTAAGGGGAGAACCAACATTGGAGGTTAAATATTAAGTATCTTACGGTGGTTTTTTTGTTTACAGAGAAGCACTTTGCTTAATTTTTGTTTTAACTTTGAGAATGTGTCTGAATATGTTTTGATAAACACTTGGTAATTCTTTGAATTTGTTTCACATAGGAATTTTTTGGGATATCAGCTGTTCCCTGTAACAAGTTTTCGCACAGATAAAACATTGAAAAACAATACACACGAATTTTTTTATATCGCCTAATACCAATGTTCAAGGGGCGAAAGCTGCCCTCCAAGTTGTGAACGAAATACCTATTTAATTAAATTTCTAAGAAACTAACAGAGATAGCACAGATTATTAAATACAAACAAGTTTGGTTTTTAACAGACAACATGCACTAAAAAAAACATAAATAAATGTTACCAAGATCTGGGTGACGCAATTATTCAAAAAATGATTGTAATAGATAAAATAAAGTTTGAATAGTACTAATGTTGTTAAAATGAAAACTACCGGTCGGTAAAGTGTTAAGATATAATATTGCAAGAAAATGTAAAAAAAAAGAATTCGTTTTTTTTTAAGCAGTCAGACTTGCATAACCCCTTAATACTTGGGCTCCTTGAACTTGGTTTCTTCCCTTAATAATGAAGAACGGGTTATTCTAAAGGGTTAACGAAAAGAATGCAGGAAAATTGGCTGAAAGTTATTACACGTGCGTTTCGTCGTTGCGTAAGAATCGAGGAATTTTCGCTACCGACAAAAGTAAGAGTTCGGCAATCGAGCGAGGCATTTCGGCAGGATTACTGCATCCGATGTAATCATCGCGTTTACGTGTATACGCACGCATAAAGCCGTTCACACAGGCGGGAAGGAATAACAAGCATTAAACGGCTGGAGAAGACGTTACCCGGAATACTTTCACGGGCTCTACCGCCTCAAACGTATTATTCGCGGCGTTTTTATTTGAACTTTCATTTATTTTCCGTGCCGCGATACTTTCTACATTAAACGACCAGATCTCGAAGCCTTCGGCCGGCGTCTACTATCACTGGGTCGAAGAGTTTCCACGGGACCGTTTACTGTTTTCCACAAGCTACGATAATGATCGGGCATTGACACTATTCGATACTGTTCCAAAAAATAAAAGTTAAAAGGTACCCTTTTTAACTATAATAACAATGAGATTAAAATACGAAAAAACAAGTTGTCGATTTAGTGAAAATTATTACGAACATAATTACAAACTATTATTAAATTCTTTTTTATATTTATCATTTATTTATAATGATTGTCTGTAACTAATATTCTTGAAGTTTGTGATTGTTCTCGAACCAATCAGGTAAGTGTAAAGCCACCTTATATATTACTTTCCTTTGATATGTCTTTTTTTTTATATCTACAATGAGACGATGTTAAGATAGAAAGAAGGCAAGACTATGCGAGCCAAACTCGTCATTTCCACTTAAGGGGTTAATTAAAATATCTTCCACCACTTTCTATCAGCCTTTCCCATCATTCTGGTAAAAGGTGAATCTTCATTCATCGTCTATCATGTGTTTTTTTAATCCAATAATGATGGGTGACTTTGACATCGCTATTATTGCAGTCTACTATTTTTGTAATTGTGAAATAATTTATGCGCTAAAGAATTTTTCTGTTTAATACAAAGATAGATAAAATACAGAAGAACTACTAGCACGAGCGAAAAGTAGTTGGGACCCTATGCTGGACGAATTCACGCTTCATTTTTTTACTTTTTACCATTGGTAGTTGAAATTACTTTGTGCTTTCCCAAGAATGATGTAAAAATACATGAAAAATAGTATAAACAAATTAAACTTCTCCGTATTTAAGTGAAAAATAAATTTATTAGACAGTTAAGTAAAACGTTGTTTGTCATTTGGAAAAAAGCGTAAATTCACTTATGAAAATCAATTTATTCATCTAAACCCATTCATGTGATTACCACTTGGGGCACAATGTTATATCGATACCCAAATAAAACTATTGCAAATAAACGACTGAAATACTATGACAAATGGAACGTACCTTAATGAACATATTATACATATACAGCTTGGCTATAAATATGTGAACACTTACGCACAGTAAATGATTACTACAAAATGTTTTGTTGCTAAATTCTGTTTTAAATATGCATTTAGAAACGTTTAATAATATTAAAATTTGGAGTGTCATATTAAATCTTATCATTTCAGAAGTTTTAAGAGCACACGGTGGATACATTAACGAAAAGAAAATTGAATTATTTTTTATTATTCGTGGTAAGATATTAAATAAACTACTGATCAAATGTGTTCTCTAATGGAACAAAAAACTAAATACAGAAACATATGCGATATTTATTAATAGATACGTCAATTTTTTTTAGACATTTATTCCAATTGAAGAAGTATCGACATACTTATGAACAGGGGTGTGTATGTATTATGTCAAATGAATACGAACTTTCTGTTTTTATTACAAATAACATTTGTTTTTACGTTAAAAGGGCTTTATGCAAGATACACTTACTGGACTTGGAGAGTGGTTGAACTTTGCAGCACATGATGCTGTGGAGATTCTTCTGCTCGCAGTAGCCGCTTATGGCCACACATCCCGTGAAGAACGTCAGATGGAAGACGAAAGTGAAAACCACCGCGAATCCTAACCAAACAGAGCAAAACTCGTCGATTATTGTAATCGGAACCGGTGCAAAAATCGCCTTTGCTTTTCTGATTCCACACTATGTCGCTCTCAACTTTCACTTGAAATCAGAGTACAGGGGTACAGGTCTTTTCCGTCATTCAAAAATTCATGAATTTTAAATCATTTCTAGAAGTTGATCGGAGTAGTAAATCGCTAACTTTTGTCATTCCAGTTTAATTGCAATTTATAATCTATTCAGATTGCACCTACTTAAACAATTTTTAGAGTAAATATTTTTAACTTAATTTTTAGATTGTGATCTATACACTAATCACACTAATTCAACTAATGGCAGTAGTTTCTCATGTATATGATTTTACGAAAATTAGCAAAACTCGCAATGTCTATTCTATTCCCGAATTGAATTTCCTATGAACTCGGAATTTTATTTTAATTTGTATTAATAATAACTGTGGAAAATAATCTATACTGTTGCAATTGTTTGCATTGCTGTTTTTTAAATTTCCTTCTAGCTCGCGTGGTTAACTATAAATACAAAGTATCGTCAACTACTAGATATTTGTTACGTTAACCAACTTTTGAAGCAGTTTCTAGATTCTTAAAAAAATGATACCACATTTTGATCACACAATTCTAGTTTCAAAATCTTTTCCCATTACATAATTTAGAAGTGTTCTAGAGTATTTTTAGGCATCCACAATCTGTATTAATTAATGAAAGAAGAAGTTATTATAGTCTATGCAGAAAATGTGTTTAATCTAATCAACTATCACTACCAATCATTTGTTCTCACATATTCCTTTCCAGTTTAAGTGACCAACTATGAATACAAAGTATCGTCGATTATTAGATATTTCAGTTGTTATCATGGCCAACTTCTGAAACATTTAATAAATTTTCAAAAATGATTCCACACTTTTGTCACACGACCCCTTTTAAAATTTCTTTCCATTACAGAATTTAAAAGTGTTTCAGAGTATTTTTTTAAGTATCCACTACCTTTATTTAATAATAAAGTAAGAAGTTACTATTGTCTATATGGAATATGCTGCCGTTATCGTACACCTGTACTTATATTACGAAGTTTTCAGAGAAAATCGATCGATTTTGTAGGCAAGAACGGCACTTGGCAAACAATTCTGCATAGATTGGTCTCCATCTATCCGCCAACTTCCCGGAAACTTACCCGAATAGATACAAAAGATCTGGACCGACGGGAAAGGTGAGAGGATCCCGATGAAAAACGATATCATATCGGTCAACGAGGTTATCGTAATCGAGACAGCAGCCTCGCTCAGAGTCGCGGCCATCCTTTCAGGTACCGGTTTCATGATACTGGTACGTCTCCAAGCTGCCAGCATCACGAATGTGTCGTCGATTCCGATACCTGCCAACAAAAATTCATCTCGATTCAATTCTCATTTCTATCAGATTTCTCTTCGGTTAGTTCTTAGAGGCAAACAATCGACTGCAAAATGCAATAACTAAAAATTGTCGAACAGTAGCCAGCATAGAAAGTATCCACATAAGTGCATGCAACATTGTAGTTAAGTATCTTCATTTTTACCGAAGATCTAATTATTCACTTCAACGACACTTGTGTCAAAAATAAATACTTAGATGTACATTCTAAATACTTCCTTTTGTAGAAATAAAGATCTCTCTTGCAGTATAATTTTGTTATGTAATAATATAATTATAAATATTTTAATAGATATATTATAATTGAATTCATAATAATATTACTTAATTTAAAAATTACTAATAACTTATAAGAATATAATATGTACAATATAAATGAACTTAATTCAGATATTTCATAGTTGTGTTAATAAATGTATTAAAAATGACTAATAATTTATGGGAATAACTATAATTTTGTCATAATTTGAATCGTTTAATATATGTATGTTATAAGTAGACTGCGGATCTTTACGCAAAATAAAATCTTCGCGAACGTGCCTAGAAAAATTGAATCTAAATAGGAATTTATTTTATTCTGCAAATATTATAACGTGAACTTTACTCTCAATCTTTTTTATATTCTTGCATATTGTTTGCATTTAGTAGGTTCTTACACATTCAAATTTCCTATAAATGCATCACGATCCGCAGTCTAATTTTATAAGATGTACATATATTTATCTTACTAGCCAGAACGTATACAGACAAATAAACAGCTCGAAGAGACGTTATCAACTAATCTTCTCATCGAGGAATAATTCAAATTTTTTATAACAAAATTTGAAAATTGTACTTTAAATGAAACCATGTACACAGCATTATTGGCAGGCACGACGCGCGATGGGACAAAAATAAGCGATCGTGTCTGGTGACGAGCGATTTGTCATCGCTTGTCCCTTGTTAGAAAAACGACCGCGGTGCCATTATCGCGATAACGAGGCGACAGTTAGCGCGCGCAGAGTGAATCAGAATGGCCGGTTTATTCGTGATTCACCCCGTCGACCACCCGTCTAAGTTTCGACGGCAATTTATAGCTACTAATAAACGCAGGGCGTCGTTTATTCAATGCTCGGCAAGGACGAGCATGATCTTTACGGCGGAAACCTTTCACGCGTTGCTGACAGTGAACCAAATTTGTTAAACGGTCGAACCTAATAGTTACCAGGAAATACGCGTCAACCTATGAATAGGGCGGCCCACGTAAACGACATTCTTGAAACGGAATACGATAGAGATCATACGTGCTAATAGAGGCAAGACTGGTACGAGTACAAAGGTAAAATGGACGGGTCGAAAAGTGAATTTATCCCTTTCGCTAGTAATGCTAATCAATGATTAATTGATATCAATATCAATTTTGATAAGAGTACGTTTTCAATTTGAAATCTCAAAATTTGTAAATAAACTTGTGGCATAGTTATATTCACAATGAGAAATATCGATTGAAACATCTGAGTTACGGAAAACAAAAGACAGTCGCCTACTGATTCAAGAAGGAACACGCGGTTGAACAGTCAGTCAAACGCAAATGACATAAAATAAATACGTAATGAGGCTCGAATGATTCTATTCTAAACGTCTGTTCTATTCGATATACGTGTCTTACAGTATATTCCTTCCTCTTTAATATGATTATAAACAATTGGCGACAGTGTAGCGCGAAGTAAATGTTATCGTCTCGGATAATTCAAACACTGAAAAAACGACATTTCACATGCACCAACCTAATATATATACAGTTAGTGCAAGAAATATTCGTACAGCAATTAATTTAAAATAAAACTAATAAAGAAAGAAATAAGAGGTAAACATTAAAAGTAACAAACTTTAATTTACGCAAAATCTACTCTACAAATTAGAAGGAATGGTGGTTAATTATTTGGTTAATTATTTCTTTCTCTAAAATTTATGAATAAACTAAATATATGAAGTTTTATTTTGAAAATTGATTCTTGAACGAACACTTATTACACTGTAGATCTGAGTGTAGATAGCTAGAGACAAAAATAATCGAATCCTTGCCAGAAGTATCTCTATTAGCGTCAACTATGTTTTCAGACTCGCGAAAGTCGACATTGTGCAATCTTTACGGATTAATTCCCATTTTTTGTTGGCTTGATCAACGATCGTGTCAGTGAAATCAGCAACGGCCTAACGAGACCGCTCGTTAACGAAATCCTTGCGACATTGTTTTCCAAGCCCTCTTCGATCGGCCGCGAATGGATCACCGAACAACCGTCGTGGAATCACAGACTGGAAGAACGGTGATTTGCGTGAAAAGCGGAAGTCCCCTTGCGCGACTTTTCCCTTTCGTCGTCACGCCAGCTTGCATCCAACAGCGATCAAAGTTTCTTGATTGCCAACAATGATTGCACTCGTGTACGTTCGACTGGATCGTTACGAAATCGTCCTCAACATTCTTTTTCCACGGCCTGAAGCTTTTCGTGTAATCGTATTGTGCCACACGAGGGCATTAAATCGGCATTTTTCAAAGTTTAGTAACGTCCATCGAGTTGAGACTGAGCCGGAACCGAGCTGTCTCAACAAGGTGGACAAGGGAACCGAAATGTAATCTGCTGGGCTACTTTCCATCGAGGAGCGACGCTCGTTCAATCGATTACGTTTATTGGTTTAATGGTTGCTTGGTTTATTTCTTTTTAGCAGTGTGCAGACTATGCAGGCCTATTTCATATTTTGCTACAAGGGCGAGAATTACGTTGCATAAAGTATGGTTATGGTGCCTCATTATATCATTGAAAAATTGAATTACATTCTATTCAATCATTTTTCAATTTCCGTAAAATCGTTTGATTTTGTATCACTTTCCCGCGCGGGTTCTCTGATATACATACAAGTATCTTCAAGGAAAATTTAAGAAAATAAAAGTGGATGCTGCCCTTTCAAAGTTACCCTAGGTGTTACAACAGTGAAAAATGGATAATTCATCAAATATTTCGCGATTCTTTAATTGCGCGATTAAATTACACTAGAAATTCTAATTTTCAGTTAACCGATAAGCGACTTGTCCTTTATTCGTTGCTCTAAATTTTGATCTAAATAGTAGTTTTGCTCATCTGTTCGATACCGATTATTTTAGTTCGTCGAGTCTGTATTACATTATTAAGTTGACCTCGGTCAATTACGATTTAGTCAAGAGACAAAGCCCAAAGGAATGAAAGGGAAAATAAGATGATTAATAAAGCCACGAATATTCAAGCTGTGTACGGTGAACAATAGTTCCCGCAGAAACATGCGAAACGCATTCGTTAGTGGTTTCGTCGACGTTCCAACATGGCTCAGCTTTCATGGAATTCATGTGACAATTCTTCATTATTCATCTCACAGATAGATAAAAGGCCACGTCACTCTTAAATTATCGGAAAAAATGCAAATTATGACCGCGAGTCGTATTTTCCGATCAGAGTGGCGCCTTTTCCGATCAGAGTGGCGCCTTTTCCGACTCAAACGCGACAACGTTCAGGATAATTAATACGAGGAGCGAATGAAAAGTAATGCCTCCAACTTTGTAACTCCTATAAAAATCAAGTTATTCCAGCGAGTGTTAAACAAGAAGAATGTTTAAAACGTACGTATTAACAACTTTATAACTTCTATAATAATCATATAGAAAGATAAATTATGACATTGTTTATCTAAACCAGGGCTTCTTAAACTATAGGTCGCGACCACAAATGGGGTCACGAGATTTTAATGTAAAACATTTAATATTCTCTTCGATATTCTTTTTTCTTTGTGTACACATACGGTCAGTCCCATAAAAATTCCTACCCTGTATGTCTATTAAAGAAATTTACCTGAATCAGATAGCGATGTAGACCGCAGATTTTATGGATTTATGATATAACTAAAAGGTATGTGCACTTATTCAAAATGAAATAATATCATTATAGAAATTGTATGAAAATATTTCCAACATATGTACATTTTACGTATATTTTATAATTATATAATTAAGACGTATACCTCATCTGGAAAAAACAAAAACTAAAATTATTAACTAAAATACTATTATTATTAATTAATAATTATTAAATACTAGCATATGACCTGAAGGTTACACGAGCCTATAGAGGGTAAATAAAATAATTATGTTCCAAGAAACAACGACTCCCCAACAACCTGACAATATTCGTATTGAGTATACGACACCTTAGAGTCGCGCTAAATTGTAGACGATTTAGGAAAATGTAAAGAAAAGCGAGTGTTTAACTTACCAATCATGAGAAACGGTGCAGCCAGATTGAGACCGATGAAATCGACGCCTAGGTAGATGCAGAGACCAAACGCAGCTACGGTGGCCATCGCTGCGGAAACATTTCCAAGCAGCCCCAACCAAGGCTTGCTACGCACCCAATCGGTCATCATGCAAGTCGCCACGGAAAAGACAGCCATCAGGATGAACGTACTCGAAAAGTAAGGCACGATGGTCTTTGTGTTCTCCTCTAGTTCGAGCTCGAGGGTCCTGGAAGCGAACCTCGCTGTGGCGATGTGTTTGAAGACACCTTCTTCCTCAACTTTCCTAACGGTTTCGAGGAAAGCTTCTTCCCACGCCGCTCCACTGTTTGAGGAGAAGAAACCGTTTAGTTTGACGTTATTTCTGTATTATTATTTAAATTGTTCAGAAATAAAGATGTTTGAAATGGACTATTTATGGACTATACACCTGTATAATTTTTTTAATTTTTCAGGGATGATGATGTACGGATGACTATTTAGGTTTTAAAAATGGTATAGTAAAATTCGTCCGAAATCAACTTACATTGCATCTAGGCGCGAGCTGTCAGCAGAGAGGAAGTAAGCGAGCTGCATCGATGGTGCAGTTTCCACAACCAGGTCTTCGTTGATCACACTCCCACCGAAGTAGACTGGCAGAAAATGAATCTCCCAGGTAACCGGATTGAACATCACCGGAAACGTCAAGTTCAGCTCCCTCTTCTCCACATCCCTGTAAAGTGCTACCGACTACTTATATGGGCCACAGACACAACCACCTTCCCATGAAATAATGAGTGTAACCATTGTCAGTTCCGTAGATAACGCTCAAGAGTACCGAAAACGTGTAACTTGTCAGACTTGAGAATTCTGAACAGTGTTATCATAAAGTAGTTTTACTTAAAGTAGTTTTAGTTAAACGGTGTAACATGTATTTTATTGTCAATATTTTAAATATTTTTGAGTTTATTCTCATACATTTTCCTATACCTCCAGTTGCGATAAATGCTTAAACATTCACAGTCTAATGGCGACAGAATATTATCAATAATACTATCCACGCTTTCTTTCAATCAACTCTTTCAAGACCGACTAAATTTATGCTAATACTTACTCTATGATATCCGAGAGTTTCAGGATGTCGTTGGCGAAGCATTTGTCCAACCACCTGGCGCATATTTGTTCGTAGGTGAACACTTCACCCTCGTATGTTGCTTTCGCGGTTCTAATCACTTCGTCTAATTGAGCCAACTCGTCAAAAACAGCTCTTCTCAGCAAATTCTCGTTTCCATCCTTCGACGTTATAATTACGTGACCGAATCGACCTGAAATAATCAGGAAAAGCCACTGAGAATTGTGAAATTGCGGAGAGAGAGATAAATGTCTAAAATATCTGAAAGTTTCGTACAGTAAAGTCTCTATAAATGCACAAGGTCGGGACTGAACTTGTGCGCTTATCGTAGAGTTCGTATATTCTCTGATGTTTGCCGACGAGCTTCGAACGTAGAGAAGGACAGCGAATAAAGAAGAGGACGGAGCGAAAACACTAGGGTATGTCGGCGAGACAATTTAATGCAACTTTACCATGCATCTTTTTTTAGTTTGTGTTCTACGATACATGAAACATAATGAAATGTTACAAGTAAATATGTTGCCAATCGCGTCGTGTTTGGTTTCATTTTCATCAGAAAAATGTCAGGAATATGATGGTAAAAGTTTTACAACAAAAAAGTTAATAATAAAAAAAGTTTTATCGTTGCATTAGCATTGTCTCGCCGAGATATCCGATCCAAGATCATGTTACACTACTCGGCGATCGAACTCGTGGACCCATCAAAGGGTGTACCCTTAGTGGCGGGGATGGTTTCTGTGCATTTATCGTAGAGAAATTTGTGTATTTATGGAGACTTTACTGTACTTTACAATTGAATTTCTATGAAATGTAGTAGGATGTCCAGAATATCTGGTATAGTTGTACGTTACAAGTAACTTTCTTTGGCATATAGTAGGGTATCTGATGTCTAAAATATCTGGTATACTTGTATCTCACAAATAAGTTTATATGGAGTATAGTAGCATGTCTACAATATCTAGAATACTTGAAACATATCGTAAAAAAGATTGTTCTCTAACAATAAGGAAACAAAAAAATAACGAACAAATAAAAACCATTCGAATCCAAGTTCAGTAAAAATAAGTAATCCCTACAACCAGCAGGCAATTTGGCAATAAGGAAGACTTGTTTTATGACTCAAGAAAGTCAGTATGTTTGTTTCACGCACTGCACACACACGCACACACGCGTAAAGGAGACTATATCAACCTTATTCGGTCAAGGTGTTAAGACTTGCCTTAACGACATGTGACTAGGTTTGCGCTATGATCGACGGGAACAATGCCAATTTTGAGAACGTCGCTGGCACGGTTCTGTTATGAATACTTTTCTCAAGGACTTTGCTACGGCTAGAAAATGTCAGCTAACTTTCTCTGGGAAAGAGTTTATTCGCACTGCTCTCAATAGCAATTGAGGCATCGTAAACTCACGTGTAGGGAAAAAGGGGCGGTAATGTTAAGTTGATGCGTAGCTTTTGTCATATTTTTTAATGGAAGTGCGATCGATATAATTTAGAGAATCTATTTAGCTAACGACATAGCGATCATTATCGTCTATCAAATTGTCTGAGTTTCGTAAACTTAATAAAAATTATTCTTTCTTATTTAAATTATGATTAATTAAATTATTTTTACAGATGATAATCTAATGGTACTGATATTAGAATCTGTTGATGTCGACCTTACTTAAATTATTTCTTTTACAGATGATAATTCGATGGTGCTGATATTAATTAAGTTTAGTATTATTAAGTCCCCTTAATAAATGTTATTTTTCTCATTTAAATTAATGATAACTAAATTATTTTCATACAGGTGACTATCTGATGATGCTGAAACTAAAATGTACTGATATTAACTACACTTACGAATTCTATACGAATTCTACTTAATAACCATTATTTTTCTAAATTAAATTAATAATAACAAAATTATTTCTTTACGGATGACTATATGTTGATGCTGACATTAAAATGTACTAATTCCCCTCGTTCAAAATTATTATTCAAAAGCCTAGCAATTAGATAGACATAGGGGAACCTTAAAGAACTTTAATTTACAAAGTACTACCCAAAGGGTGCCCATACCTATCTAGTGGTACAAAAGAACCTTGGAGTGTGAAAGATTAATACTTGCCCTACTCATCCTCCCTATCCTCCTATCCTCCCCTACTGCTTATGTTTTAGCCCGAAGTACGTGTAAGACCCCTATAAGTGCGATTGCAATTTGCATCTAGATCTCTTCGATTCGAGACATGACCCACCTGGCCTAGTAATGCGTCCCAGGTTGAAATGGTGGCTGTAATTGACCTTGAAGTACTGTTCCACGATCGCCCTCTCCGTTTTGCTCGGGCCATTGGTCGGCGAGAAGAGGTATTCAGGATCGATCTCGTAATGAATCCTCTGGTAGCCGGTGAAACAGATAAAGGCTACCAGTACCGGAATAACCACGAAATAGCCGGGATGGCGACCCACCACAAGGCCCAATTTGTGAAACGCTCGGTTCAAGAAGTCGTCCACGCAGGTCATATTGCTCCACATCTGAAAAGAAGAACGTCTCATCAACTTCTAGGTCTTAGGATTCCACGAAGGTCAACGATAGCTCAATGAAACTGGTTCTCGAGACCAGAACAGAGACGCGAACTTATCGAATCGCGTCGAAAGTCATGGTAGACCGCGAATGTTTATGCATTTATGGTAAATGTTTAGAAGATAAGACATACTTTCATTTCAGTTTCAATTCTTTTTCTGAATCTGTGAAAATATGAATTTACATAAACATCCGCGTCGCGATTACCGAGGCACTAATGTGAGTAAAAAGTGTGTATGTTTACGACAGAAAGTATAGCTATTCATCAAGTGTTGGAAGGATTTTCTACATTACCGTATATCAATGAAGGCTAACATTAATTTCTACGTTGTTATATTATTAAGTATATCAAAAGTCTTATCTTTTTCCTCAATTTCAGGAGGTTAAATTAATTTTGATTAAAAAAAAAACATGTCATTAATGTGCATAATAAATCCTCTTTACTATATTCAAATTTAATACTAACCCTTTGCACTCGAGACCTTCTTTTCTGGTATCTACCACCATCTCGAGATGTTTCTTAGCATTCTATTGCCATGAATTCTAAGCTATCTAGATTTGAGAATAAGGTCACCTTTACCTCGCCGACAATCATTTTATTGGCACTTCGAACTCCAAAGAAATTAAACCTGAAGAAACATTAGGTATTGTAGATTTGCTGCGTGAAACCTAATGCTGACAGAGTCACCTCTCGAGTGCAAAGGGCTAAATCTATCAAGCCAATCTATTCGGCCAATGCACATTCTTCTTCTTTTGCATCTTCTTAAAATCACTCAACTGTTAGCAATGGTTTAATCGCGATTTTTGGTGACAATTATTGTGTTAGCGAATTCATTTTATCAATTCCTCCAATTAAAAAGATATAATTGTATGTATGATAGATGTGAGTTGATTTCTGTGCTTTTAGTGGTAACCCTTTGCACTCAAGGCCTTTTTTTCTGGTATCTGCCAGCAACTCGAGATGTTTCTTAGCATTCTATTGCGACGAATGCTAAGATTATATCGACTTCGAAACTGTGATTTCTAATTTGAGATTTGAGAATCAGGTCACCTTTGCCTCAACGACAATCATTTTATTGGCACTTCGAGTTCCAAAGAAATTACACCTAAAGAAAACCTAGTGGTGACTGAAAGGGTTAATTCGAATGTATGCAATGTATTTCAGCGTAAAATTTATGAACAAAAAAGATACGTAATCGACATAGTTTACAGAAATGCCTCGCTGGACATCTATAAAGGCCGCGTGAGGCTTGTGGCTCCAGAGGAGTGTTCATCCCTGTTATAGAGGTATGTATGAAAGAGAGAGAAAGAGAAGTTAGGCGTAGAAAGCAAGGCTCACACGTGAGGACGACTTAAGGCCAATTGCCGTTTCATTTTGCAAAACGACCATACCGGCCGTAAATCGAGAACACTTCCTTGTTGCGATAGGATCGAGAACAGAAGAGATTGAAACGTGGACAACGGAACTCGGCGAGTGACTCCGATCAGCAATTTTAAACACCTTACCAAATTCTTCGCTTTCCCTTGCGCAAATTTTCAGGAGTTATCTAATCGATTTAAGAAACAAATTTCGACAGCTTTTCTTCTCTGTGCAATGATAGCTTGAGCGATTAAAAAGAAGGCGAAAGTGGCCCATTGCAACATTCGTAGCAATAACAAAGATATGGCTCATAAACTGAAAGACTGGAAGAAATAAAACTTCAAACGCATTTTTACGCGAAATTACACTGTTTGACCTGAAAGCCAATAACTCGAAACCTGTCTAACTGGATTCAATAAAGTTTTGTGTACGTACTTTCAACAACCCTATGTATCGTGTAACGTACGATTATTTATTCTTTAATTTTATTTTTTAATTGGTTCTTGAGGATCAAAGAAAAATATACCTTGTAAGCTTTTTTAAACATTAGTACGTCATTGAAAAATATGAAGACTGCTGAACTTTATAATTTTCAGTTACCAAATAAATTAGAATCACTGATGATCCTACCTGTCAAAAATAGACAGAAATGATGTCATTTTTTCGTTACGTATAAATATAATCGTTAACAAAAATTGTCCTTTAAAAATCATAGAATACTTTACGTATGGTAATAAGGACGTTTCAATCAACTGCATACGACTTTTGTAAATTTGCAAAAACACCGCTCGTTTTGGGCCAGCCAGTTAGTGTTCCTCCCTCAAAAAGTTCTTTTAGTTAAACAAATGCTAATATTACAGATTTTTTCTGAAAATACCGTCTGTTTAATAGAAACGTTTTATTAAACCTTGAACAGTATTTATACCAATTTTCATTCAAAAATATACGACTCCTGTTGTACCACGCTTGTAAAGACGAATTCCAAAATATTGTTAATTTATCTGCCTTCTTTCTGTGTGGATCAAAAACTACTTTTGATGCCTATATGATTGTAGTCTACTTTCTAAAAAAAAAAGTATTTTCAACCGAAACCGTGTCCAATTGGCCAATTTACAGTTTCACGCCACCAGTTTTATAAGACGTATCCTTCGAACATCAGACTTTATATAGTTAGTCAACAAAAAGAAATAAATTTTTAAATGCCGCAAAGTAGAATCTGTAGATCTTTAGACGTATAGTATATACGACAAACTTATAGCATATAAATCTAGGATAAATAAGAATAGTACAGGATAGCATATACGGTCAGTCCATAAATATTCGTACCTTCTATATCTATTGAAGAAACTTGTCTGAATTAAATGATAGACTTGAAGTTTCCAAATAAATGTTTAATTATAAATTAACTACGGATTCTTATGCATTCATGGAAAATGAAAATATGGTTAAATGTATGAGGATATGTATGAATGGAAAAATGTATAAAATATCGACAATAAAATGGATACTACACTGTTTAGAAAATAAGACATACTTTCATTTAAATCTCAATTCGTTATGTGATTCTATAAAACTATGAATTTGAATAAACATTTTCAGTCTAGTAATAAGTATTTAATTGCCTCTAAACATTTTAGTGCAATGCATGGAACTATATTCTATTATTTGACACCTGAAGAAGCTATTTTGCATGAATGCAAAAATATATCAAATATCAACCATAAAATACATGCTCCTCTGTTTAGAAGATGAGACATACTTTCATTTAAATCTCAATTCTTTATCTGAATCTGTAAAAATATGAATTTGCATGAACATTCGCAGTCTGATTATAAATATGTACATAAATAAACTTTACATTTGTATATTTATTCGAAGACATCAAACCTATTGTATTTAATTTAGACTTTCTTCAATAAACGTAGAGGGTACGAATACTTATTACGGGATTGAGTGTAGGTGGAGGATAAGTAACCCGAGAATAAATCTATAATCCTATATCATATAAATAAATCTTTAAATCTATAATTCTTTCTACAAAACGCCATCCAGTTTATTGCAAAAGCGTTACGAATATTCCCTGAACGATTGATTTGGAGTATTCCACGAGAAGAGGATCGTTACTTTCTATTCAATTACAATGCTAAACATGTGAAATGCGGAGCACGGTCCGCTTAACACGTAACGAAAAATTGTTGAATTCAACGTATTTTCTCGGCTGCTTATGTAAAACAACGCTCTATATACACTCATGCGCAAATGTAAGCGTAATTGCTGCGAACCGTGCCAGAATGTTCCTCGACGAATCCTCTTAAACGCTCAACCTGTTCTTTCAAAACAGTGTTGAGTAAACATTAATTAAAACGACAACCAACAATCTTCCTGATTGCGAAAATCAATTGCCTGTAGTAATTGAAATTGCAATTAACAATTGAGCATTCAGCAACAAAATGGTTGTCTAAATAAATCTTCAATTTAATTCTAGCTGTCTCTCTAACTCGAAGTTAAGTTTTGCAAGAACTATGCAAATTAAGCATGGATTGTTGAGATTTAGAAGATTTTTTCTTTATTTTTTTACCGAACAAATTAATCTGTTAAAAGACGTCAACATCTGCTGAATAGATAAATGAATTTTTTTAAAATAGAACTTGTTATTTTATTAAGGAAAAACGAAAATTTTCGATAGTCGAAAAATGGGACTATCTAGTAAAACCGTTATCATTTTGATAAAAATCAAACAATTTTTAAATCCTTTATCCACTCAGCAGATATATAATTTGTTTGATGGGACGTTCTCAAGTTATTATATACATAAACCATAAATATTCCTGGATATTTACTCCATCTTGGCCACTTTTAAACATATCATAACAAATAAATTTATACATAAAGTTCAATATTTCTTCAATAAAATTACGCTTTGTTTATGGATTGAAATCGTTATTTAACTTTCGAAAACAGAAATTCTTAAATGTGACTATGACAACTGCCTGGACTCTGTAGTAAGAAAAATAAAGGGCAATGCAGCATTAGTAAAAGACAACTTTCAACACTTTATACGCGAAAATCTGTACATTATCGTGTCATAAATTGTTCCGCTAAAAATCAGTCATTAAAAGGTGAAGTAATTTCCGTATTATCTGTGCATTCTTCGCAATACTTATACGCATCGTTACTCTAGCTATCGACTTACCAGACGACAGATCCCATGATTTGTTATATTTCCGTTAAGAGAAAAGAGTTATTTCCAGTTATGAGTGACGTAAGTAAATTCGTCTCTAGCTCTTAGACAATCATCGTTTCGACCAAGAACAGAAACGGTTCGCAACGATTGCGAAACGAAAACGGGAAGCCGGTCAACGTAACGAACACACGTGTCCTACGAAAAGCTTGATGTACAGTAGCTTGTATACTGCTAGCGGTTACGAAGACACCATTGTGTCTATTCTAAATGGCGCGACTCACGCACATTGCTCATGAAAAAGCACACTTAGTTTAATAACGCAGACATCCGTCCCTCTTCTTAAGTAACGAGTGTACCGTCCCGACAGAAAGCCGCGTTCAATTTTAACGATGGGAATCGCAGACATC